CAGAGAGACAGGAGGAGATACCACAGAGTCCACTATCATGAATGTCGAAGGAAGAATGAGTTTGAAGTGACTGTAGTTGAAATGATGGAGTAGTTGGTACCCTAGGAAGCCTGATTTTGCTCACCCTACTAGCCTCCAGCAGGTGCTAGCATTGTATCTTGTAGCTGCTCTTAAAAACACTTAACAGACTTATGGTTAACCAGTGTAATCGTTTGTTTCATATCCTCCATCCCCTCTGACCTATGAGTGCCTTGGAGACACGGGCCATGCTGTTCTTGCTCTCTTCCATCCCCAGCATCTGGCCTGGTGTTTGGCACATAATGCTGTTGGAACTCCAAGTTCTTGTTGCCACTTGGCAGGACTCCAGCTGTCCACATTCTCACACCCCCGCCCCAACTGCATATTCTGCTCACATTAGGAGACAAGGATTTAGGAACTTTTGGGAGAAAATCCAACCCTCATAGATTGAGTTTGGGGTGTAGGAAGTGTGAGTGAACAGCCAAAAATGGGTCATCCAAACTCAGTTTATTATACCCCACTGGTCACCCTTGAAGGTGGTCTCATTATTGGTAACTAAACTATAGAAGACTCACACTGTAAGCCACTACAATGGAATGTTATAAGAGCCATGGATGATGTAGCCTCTTACTCATCCTCTTGAACCATCTCTTTGAAACGCATGTCCTCGCCTGTGCACAGCTCTGTATTATCATATTTCATGGAGGGGAATGCTGGAACCCACCTGTGTATTGGGCAAGGACTGGAATAGTCACTTTGGGGATTATGACTGACTGAGCAGGGTACCACTGAAGGAAGGGTTAGGTTGCTGCGATTTGGTAGAGTCGTGGTTCTCCAAGTTGTTGTTGTTAAGTGCCGACGAGTCGGTTTCAACCCATAGCAACCCTATATAGTGTTTCTGTGGAGCGACTGGTGAGCTTGAACCGCTGACCTTGCAGTTCAAATGACTCTGTAGTCTGGTGCATTAATCTACAACGCCATACCAGGATTCCAAGTTGTTGTTGTTGTTGTTAAGTGCCTTCGAGTCGGAGCCGACCCATAGCGACCCTGTACAGGGTTTCCGAGGGTGTAAATCCTTACGGGAGTAGAAAGCCTCATCTTTCTCCCGCGGAGCGGCTGGTAGTTTCGAACCACTGACCTTAAGGTTCGCAGCCCGATTCGTAACCACTACGCTACCAGAGCTCCTTAGGATTCCAAGTAGGAACTGTTAAAAGTTGGAAGGTGGCATGTCAAGGGGAAACACATCCATGAGGGTCCCAACAAGACCATTGGTGAGCGCACATTTGGTGAGTGTTTGAAGATCTTTCTTTGCAATGGCTATTGTTACTTCTGTTTAGCACCTACCACACACCAGAAGGAGCTCTGGTAGAGTAGTGCTTATGAGTTGAAATGCTATCTTAAGGCCAGCAGTTTGAAACTACCAGAGGTCTCATGGAAGAAAATGAGGCATTCTGCTCCCGTAAAGATTTATAGCCTCAGAAACCCTATACAGAGTCACTGTGAATCAGAACTGACTCCACGGCACATAATCACCAACCACCACCACACACCAGAAGGAGCCCTGGAGATGTAAATGTGTTCTGTCACTAAGTGAAATACTGGCAGTTCAAACCCACCTAGTGGCTCTGCAGGAGTAAGACCGGGCGAGCTGCCTCTATAAAGCTGAAAGCCTGGAGAATCCTATGAGGCAGTTTTCCTCTGTCACATGGGGCTGTAATGAGTCAAAAATCAACTCGACAGTACCAAACAACAACATGACTACATGTGCCAGGCACTGTGGTAAATGCTGTATCATTTCCCCGTCTCTGCAGCCTGTGACAGGAAGTGCTGTCAGTCTGGGGTTCATGGAACTGGTAGTTGTCGCCAGGACACTGTCCTTGGCCCAGCTGATCTCAGAGCCAGAATTGTTGTGAGACTAAATAGGTACTGCATGGGAAACGCTTTGCCAGCTACAAAATGCCACACAGATTCGAAGAACACCTTTCCACACCTCCTCCTCAGCCCTGTGGGGATTAGGTTGTTTGTCATGCCTTGGCCCTCCCTCTCCCAGGAAAAATGTGTCAGACCCCAGTGGGTGGAGACAGCGCATCGGAGGGCTCTAGAACAGGGCGCAGTGGGGAGGTACAAAACCCAGGCAGGTGCCCACAGCTTGCCTGCATGGTGCCCGGCCGTGGGTCTGTATTATTCCCAGTGGGGGCTGTATTTGTCACTGTATACAGAGTGCCGTGTGTGTGTGTGTGCACGTGTGCATACATGTGCGCATGTGTGTGAACATGTGGAGTGTCTATGAGTCTGTTACTGAGAGTGTTTGTGTCTTTCTGTGTCTTTCTCTGTGTCCCTGTGTCTGCTATGCACAGAGCGGTTAGCTAGAGAGGCCGAAGACACGGGTACACGCTTCTAAACACCTGGGGGAGACACAGAGAGAAATCCGCCATGTTGGTTTCTCTGTGTGCATTCTTGGTGGAAACTTCTCAAGGATGTGTGTCTATGTGTGTGTCTGTCACACACGTAGATACACATCTCCATGTAGCCTCAGAAATGTGCAGAATGAGAGGCCTGCAGAGACCCATGGAAACAGAAGTGGACTGACAGACATACACGGACACACTTGAAGTCTTTGCATGTGTATTTCTCTGTGTGTGTGGTGCTGTGTGTTTCTCTGAGTGTATGCGGGCATCTGTTTGTCTGAATTACAGACAAGCGAGGAGACACTAGCTGAGAAATCCACAGAGCCTCTGTAATGTTGGGCATGTGCATATGTGCGTATCATTCTTTAAAGTCTGGGATGAAGGTGACACCATCGTTGAGTT